GAATAAAATAATAAAATAAGACAATAAAATTCTCACGACGTTTCGGCCACAACACAAGTGGCCTTCTTCAGGTGAAGAGACAGGTCTGTCCAGAAGACAGAGCTTGAATGAACGCTGTCATGCAAGGACCGCGTCTATTAAGCTGTGTGGGCGGAGTTAAAATATGAATGTGCATGTTACCAGCATCACCTCCGGAGAGGAGGAGGGAGGGGGCTGGGAACACAGGCAGAGAGGAAACAAGAAAAGGGGCAAGTGCAACAGCCAAGGTGCGCTGTTGTGTCCTGAGTTGCCTTATGACTATGCTGTAAACTGGACTACTATATAATACAATATTATACCTTCCAATCTAAACTACATGGTATAACATCATGTCATAGACAAATTTCACCTTTGAATTATACAATGCGTTACTTTACACTACCCTAAACTTTAGATTATAAACTATTAGACTTGTGATATTACACTGTCTTATTCTATGAACCCAACTATATACCACACTGATGTATATTCATTATGCAATAACGATGCAAGACGGAGGTTCTTTGCAAGCCAACCGGCTACCATGAGAGTTTCGTTCATAAGGCCATCCACATATACAAGCACAGAGACAATTTCAACCGAGAAGATGGATTCTGGCTGAGTAACCATTGGAAAGATGTTTTAAACCATTTCGGTTCTTAATTGATTGTATTTTACGGTGACTTTCAGACCGCAGCCCTTTCGCTGGCACTGCCTCTTAATACTTCTCACAACACGATCAATGGTATGGTTTATAACATGTAGTATAATAATCAATAGTATAACATTGTAATTTTTTAACATAACTCATAAGGCAATATATAGCATCGTAATCGCATAATGACTATGCATCAGTGTGGTATATCGTTGGGTTCATAGAATAAGACATAGTGTAATATCACAAGTCTAATAGTTTGTAATCTATAGTATAGGGTAGTGTAAAGTAACGCATTGTATAATTCAAAGGTGGAATTTGTCTATGATATGATGTTATACCATGTAGTTTAGATTGGAAGGTATAATATTGGATTATATAGTAGTCCAGTTTACAGCATAGTCATAAGGCAACTCAGGACACAACAGCGCACCTTGGCTGTTGCACTTGCCCCTTTTCTTGTTTCCTCTCTGCCTGTGTTCCCAGCCCCCTGCCTCCGAGTCCTCTCCGGAGGTGATGCAGGTAACATGCAAATTCATATTTTAACTCCGCCCACACAGCTTAATAGACGCGGTCCTTGCATGACAGCGTTCATTCAAGCTCTGTCTTCTGGACAGACCTGTCTCTTCACCTGAAGAAGGCCACTTGTGTTGTGGCCGAAACGTCGTGAGAATTTTATTATCTTATTCTATTTTATTATTTTATTCCCATTCTACGTCACTTTACCGAAAGAACCAAGAAGATGAATCCTTGCAGTCACGAAAGCTTTAAATCGAGTCCATCTATGCTCAGAACGGAGGAGGGGGGAGAGAGAGAGAAACAGCCACGATGTGCTGCTCTGTCCTGTGTTGCGTTACAACTATGCTATAAACTAGACTACTATACATTAAAATATTACACCTTCCAATCTAAACTACATTGTATAATATCGTATACGCAGCCCAATATAAGCTCTAACATTATGCATCGGTTTAGTGTATGGTAGTAGGGTATTTGCAGTTCTTTAGAAACTCCTTTTTTGTTCTCCACATAATGCACGATCTTGATACGCGGTGGTTTGGCTGGTGCAGTTCTTTATTATTAAAATTTCCCTCCCTTTATTACTGCTAATCCTACATAACACACTAGCATAATATGACTTTGAGACCCCCCCACCGCCTACACATTCCACAAGGAGTGACTAACCCCCATATCCGCATTTGTCATCGACATGCTAAATTCCTCTGTTGATATGTAAACTCCTTTGTCAAGGCGCTCTCCTCCTCCCACCCAGCTTAAAAAACCCTGCCAAGCTTAGCAGTGTTCATTAGGACGCTGTCTTTCCGACAGCTCTGTTCTTCACCTGAGGACGGCTGCTTGCGTTGTGGCCGAAACGTCGTGATAATTCTATTCTATTATGTTTTATTTTTATTATTTGATTTCCCTTTTACGTGACTTTACCGAAAGAACCAAGAATATGTTTTTTGGGTTATTATAAATATCTCTACCTTGCGTGTGCTCTCTGCCCATTGCGTTTCTCTTTCTCTCTCTCAGTGTAACTCCATGTTACATTCTCTTTGCCAACGTCTCTGATCCACGTGCTAGCAGGAGATACTGGAACATACACATTACAGTACGTGTACCTGGGCCAGTCCTTAATGGGGAACTGGGTCATAATGGTTCAAGCATGAGGTGGATGGACGCAGGTTGGTGGACTTTGGTAACACAAAAAAGCCCTAAACTTTTAAATGAAAAGCAACACATCAATTGGTATAAAATTAAACGTTTTCTTTTGTTTCTAATCAGAGTATATTACCTGCTATGACATAAGGATTTTCACATTACACAGTCAAAATCACAGGTCTCACAAACACAGTGAAGTTGAATGTGGAAGGGGCTGGAATGATGGCGAAGTGGTTTCCGCGTTGCACTATGAGCCCTGTGATATGGTTTCTGTTTCTGGCCATGGTCACGGCGAGTGGCCAGCGATATTAGAACCTGGTTCTGGCCCCGTTCATTACCAACCTATACTGACCAGTGCGGTGAAGTATGTTCAAACAACCCTCACGGCCAATTCAGCATGGGCAGGCCTTCATCCAGAGAGCGGTATGACATCGGGCTATACATGTTTTATTATGTATTATCGTTGAGGCGATTAGTGTAACTAGAAACATCTAAGACACTCAGTGTTAGCCGAAAGCAGAGTCAGCCTAAAGTTCGGTTTAAGTTTCATGCGCGACAATAAAACATATGGTATACGATCCCCGTTATCAGTTAAACAAGCAATGAGATCGTGGATTGTGACACTACATCCAAAAGAAAACGAGGAAATTTGATTACATTTAAAAAGGGAGTTAATTTAGAGGTGTATGACAGGCGTAATGAGCAGGTTAGATGTAGGAGACTCTGAAGCATGTGCATAGCTTTTAGTGCGCCATGGTTAATTTAACTTAATGGACTGAATTACTTTTGATCTCATCTCCTGTGGTCATGCCCCTGTGCTTGAAAAAGGTAAAGGCGCAGCCCTGCCATTTCTCGCTCACGCCACTGCCTGGAGAAAGGGCCTCCACTAGAAGGAGATCTAGAGATCCACTGCTAGAATGTATTTGGCCTCCTCTTCCACATTGGCCAGACGTATGAGAAGAGGTGTGCATCGAATGTATATTGTAATGTTGAAGAACCATTGCTGTACTCGATTTTAAGCACAAGGTGTCAGTATGAGATGTAAGATTCCCAAACACGGACGAGAAGTGTTCCCGTGCAAATTGTCCGGATTAGTCATGCAACTGTAGTAGCACAGCCCTTTTGTCAATCCACTGCTAGATGAAGGCCTCCCCCTTGCCGTGCAGTTCGTGAAGGTGGTATGACCAAAGAGGGAGCATATGTGAGAGCGCAAAAGTACAGGACAATAGATGTTGCTGCACTGCCCTTTGCTGCCGACAATGTAGCCCACAACTTACAATATCCATTCTGCATCACAGTGGTGACTCATCCATTAAATATACAGCAGGCTAAAATCTGCTGAGCTTCCGAAGATCACATTGGGTACATTCCAGGTGATTTTGTCTGAGGCATAGTACTGTGTACTCGTATACCGTAGATTTATACTGTACTGTATTACCATGTTGAATGAATATTATGAATAGAAAGGTGTAAATGTATGAGGAACGATTCAGCGCTATATGTGAAGGCTAAATAAATGTTGAGATTACGGTTATGGACTTGAAATGGTTTGGCGTTGTGGTTATGGGTTCAGACTCAGTAGGACTGCCCGGATTAGCACGGGTGGCTACGTATGGTGCGAAGGAAGTTCAACGTACGTAATGAAGGGGTTGCGACAAAAGGAATGATTTATCCCGGGCCTTACACAAAAGAGGGCCTCATAGTAGGCCTGCAGATGGAGAAATAAGGGGGCCGCACGTGGCATTGTGCCCCGGGCCTCCAGGAACCTCTTGGCGGCCTTGAAGCTTGGCTCGGGTATGGTTAGGATTTAAGGCTAGGTGTGTTTGAATGAGGGTAAGAGGCTTGCTAGGTTAGAGGTTAGCAAAGGGAATAGCATTGTTGTGGGGTGTTTTTGCTATGGATAAGCTTAGTATCAGTAGGTTAGGGTAGTGAATAGACTTGTAAAGATTAGGGTGAGGTTATATTTGAGACTTGTCATTGCTGGGCTAAGTGTTATGCTTGTTAACATGCAAAGCATAGTCCACACAAATGCACGAACAATCAATTCATGGTCAATTTAGCATGCATTTTTAGAAGAAAATTTATGTTCACAGGTGAGAATTTTCAAGTAGTGTTGTTCTCACGACATTACAGTGACACTGCGGCTCCAGGTTGAGGATACAATAAATATTCCTCGGGTTTTTGTGTTGCATGATTCATTAAGAAACTAGAACGCGTTGGCAGTGGCCTTCTGTATCAAATGGGGGCACACACCGCCCACGCAGCTTCCCAGGATAATTAATCTGGTGTGAGCCCACCACTGATGCATTATCACCACACATGGTCTTTGAGGTGGCAGAGTGGTGCAGTAGTAACACTTGTTTGTGCCTCACGGCAAGAAGGGCATCTGCAGTTTGATTGCCGACTCGGGCACCTTTCCGTGTGGCATTTGTATGTTCTAACCCCAACTCTGGTATTTGCCAGACTCGTGCAGTTCTAAAGAAACGATTTTTCAATTGAGGTGATCTAAAAGTGCATAGCTCCAGTAGCTTCCTAATACCGGGAGGAAGAACGTTCCAGACGGCCGCAGAAGCGTGTCTGGAAGCGCGCGATGCGGTGACCGTCTTTGTTAGATGCTGCTGCTGCGAGGATGAACACTGCTTGGCCCTGCTGACAGAAGACTCACCTTGATGTGAGCCATGACAATCTTCCTTCCATCTGCAGAATCGCCCACAGTGAGCCGTGGTGGAGCCACTCCTGTGAGCAATACACAGAGTAACCTTTCAAAATCAATTTTACTTTTGATATTTTACATGTAAAGCGAAACCAGGTGGAGTAGACCTCACACCTTGATTGCATTGTAATAAGATGTATTATAACATAGCCACTACTGAATGTCGTAGTTTGCAAAGCATGTTCTAAATGTTTCAGAGAGTACTGTGTATTTCTTAATATAACAGTCTACAACCCTATGGATTGTAGACTGGCTTGTAAATTGTAGATTCTTGGACCCTACATTTTGACTTAAAACTTTCGTGACTGCAGGAATTCATATTCTATGGTTCTTTCGGTAAAGTCACATAGATAGAAAAAAGTGATTAAAAGTATCACGACGTTCCGATCAAAACGTTGTGATATTTTTAATCACTTAATTTTATTATGCTTAAAAATATCACGTTTCGATCGAAACATCGTGATATTTTTAATCACCTTTTTTCTTCTATATTCGTGTCTTTACCGAAAGAACCATATAATATGATTGAACCCTTCTTATCGCATTCTGATTTTAAAACCTTATCACTTTAATGTTTGCTTTAACAATTAGTCTGCGGTGAAATGGTTTAGAAATCGGCAGCCGACTGATTAAATTGGTAGGGCCGGCAAGCATGCGTGACTGCGTTTTATAATTTACCTTTTAAGGCAGCGCTATTGAATAATGCATTGCGTTTTTTGTTATCTGTATTTGTGCACCACTGCCAATGCAGCAGTATCTCAAAATTATTAGTGCATATTAACAATTGCAAGGAGGCGCTGGGGTTATTGCTCCATTGAGTAGCATCGCTTCAACTGGTAATAAAATGTACCGATTTTATTGTTGAGCTTTCATTCAGCAGTGGCTACACATTACAGACAGGCATGTACAATTAAACACTGTGTACATTAGTATACGTGACAAATATCATTAACACATGAGCTGTGCACAGCGGGTTTTAACCATTACCTGTTGTGTTGCTTAGATTTAATACCAGACTTGTTGAACTTTATTGATGCTGTAAATACATGTTTACGAGTTTGTCTTAAAAAGTTGTGACGGAAATAAAGAATTGGATTGCATTGGCAGGAGTACGGAGACTACAAAACAATGTTTAATGCCATTTGTTGATCCATGAAAGTATAAATGAGTCTCATTGATTGTTTTTAACGGAAGGTTTTGCATGTCAATGTTTGACAGGTTCCATGTTCGCTGGTGGTACCATGCTACGTGCTTCAGGCAATGCAGTCACATTTTGTGATGTTCGCCAATACAGGTTTATCGTAAATTTTTTATCGATAATTGAAAATGTGCAAATTATTATTTTCTTCTTGTTTTAAAATCGTGTATGCATTGGTGTTTTTTTTGTGAACAATTGAGTTGGGTCGATACTTGGAGAGGCGTTTGATTGAAGTGGTGTTTTGGTGCTGTGCATTACCAACTATGTTTGCAACGTGAACTGCAGCTGCAGCGTCACCGGTCCAAGCCCTGTAAAATCAATATTGCAGTCAACATCCGATCTTTCTTGTCATTTCAAGACAGTTGTTAAAAAAAAAAAATCTGCAGCACATAATTTCAATACTACCATAACATGAACTGAAATGAATTCCATTTGTGTTCCCTTGTAAAATCAGCCGTTTTATCCATATTGGTGGCACCATGTAGTAACCTTCTGGCAGATGTCTGTGCAAAAACAGTAAAGGTACTTCCTAAAATTTATTTCCTTCTGAATTCAATTTGCTGACGTCAGAATGATGAGATTTACACATTACGAAAGTCACGATGCGAGTTAATTGCATGCAATGCTTTTATGACACGCATCTCACACGTTTGATGTCTGAGAATATTGCAGGTATTATCCATTATACTGTAGACTGTTATTATACCGCAGTTTAAACTGCAAGATTGAAATGTTTGCAGCATATTCCTCATAAACGATACAGTAGTGTCCTAATTTTTTTTTAACTACAAAGCTTGAGTGATTTTCAACAGCAAACGGTAGAAGCATTCGAAACAATCACCAATGAATTGTTGGCGACAAAAGTATCGCTGAGTAGTCGTCAACTCCACTTTTCAAGCAGACTCCTCCACACGGACAAGCTGTTGGGGTTATGGATCACGAGGGAACGTGCACACAGCTGGAAAGAGCGTTGTGAAGTTAAATTGCGGCAAAAGCGGAATTATCGACTTACAGTAGCCGCTCTACTTCCAACCTCTTGTTACCACTCTAAACGTATTCCCAGAAGACCGCAAATCCTTGCAACACAGATTAAGCAATTGTACTTTCGCGAGCCGATTTGGATATCGGCATGCACATCACTTACAAGGTTGTCCTTACTGTGCAGCGTACATCATTTGTCTTCCCCTTTTTATAAATAAATAAAAAATTGAGAATGAATCAAACCAGGATATCCATGGTTCCTCAAATACCGTGACTTGCTGTGCACAAAATATGTGGTGCCTTGTGCTTACTGGTGCCTTTTAATATGCAACTTTGATCCTCACACGTGCGGTATCGACAGTTTCATATTAACGTGCAATTTAATTGAGGGACTACTGTGTATATATCCTTGGTTCTTTCGGTAAAGTCACGTATAAGGGAAACAATAAAATAATAAAAATATAAAACAATAAAATTATCACGACGTTTCGACTGCCTTGCCCCAGCTGCGTTTGCTGTTGACAAATCGGCATGAATTTATGTCCTTATGCAATTAGTACTTCTATACTTTATTTACATGTATTTATTTATTGTGATTTTCTTACCTTTTCTCTACGTTGTACTCCTCTCGTTGTTTGTATCGTTTGTTGTTGTAACTCGCTGACCTGGGACATCTTTGCAAAAAAAATGCTTCGTTGTTCATTGGATTCCTACAGTTTAAATACAGTCTTATTCTGATGACGCCCAAAGTGATGTTTGTAAGAGTATGATATTTAACAGGTGGTATTTTTGTTGTTGTTAAATACTCGACTGGTTGCACGTGACGAACGTGTCAGGTTAGTCCAATCAGTTTCATGCGAGGTTTCCATGGAGACCAGACGTCACACTTGAGCTGTGCTCGACAGTTCTTGGTTTAGCATGGCTTATTTTTTTGTTTCCAACACTTAAATAACTCTGAAGCTCCACGGGCTTGACGCCTTCACCCCCGTCCGTGCCATGGCTGATTGAGCTAGGTTATGGTATTCAAAGAAAAAAATAGCAAGTACGTCATTTTCCACAATATTCTTACAAAAAACACAGCCCTGAAATTGACGTAAATGAGAGAAGTTACTGAACACGTGTCTCTCTGATGTCAAGGACACGGACTACCCAGACTGATCGTTTCGTCTCATTCATACGACGTTCAACCACTAAACACTTATCTTACTACTCCCATATTTCCTTGAACTTGCTAGACTTTGGAATCCCCTCCCATCATCTCGTGTATTCACTAAAGTTTGTATTACTTTGCTCAATTCAACACACTATCTTACACACCTACAATAGTGCCGTTACTTGCTGGCCGCCTAGCAGTGTGGACCTTTGGGCCTGTGCTGAGCAATTGTGATTTCACAAAAAAAAATTTCAAGAGTGGAAATTCAGCCCAGATGAAATTGGCCACCTTCCTTAGCAAAGCGAGCCACGTGGCCCATAAGAAGTGGCTACATGGCCAGGTGAGAATTGGCTTGGGCTGGTATGGCTTGCCACGGGAATCCAGGCCAAGGTCACTTCACCAGTTAGTGAATGGGCTGGTTGCAGCCCAATGATCGTTGTAACGCAACATGAGGATGTTGAGGTTGTGTCCTAGTGGCATTATATTGGTGGTCTCTCAAGGTGCCAACCATCAAACTTTTTGGCTTACCATGAAACAAAGACAGGCACTGCATCATACACTTTCAGATGCGCTTCTGCGGCCGTATGGAATGCTTTTCCTTCCGATATTAGGAAGCCACTGGAGCTAGGCACTTTTAAATCTAAATTGAAAACTCATTTCTTGAGAACTGATTTTTGTGTTTAGTTTGTTGTGCTTCCCCCGCACCTCTGCTTAGCACGGTTGACGACATACAGTGCAAAAGAAGTTCAACATACATTCATATGATACAATGTCTCAAACATTGGAACTTGGTGGAGTTAAGATTTCAACTCTCGCCATGAAAGAAGTGTTACTCATGCAAGCAAATTGGGGCCTAACCCCATAAATTATAACCACTGCTTCCAGAAACACATATTTAATACTTCTGAAATGCAGTTATCCCATTACATTTTGCGGCTGCTTTATAATTCCTTGCCATTTCCAATAAATCAACACATAAGCTGAAAGTATCACTCTCCCTTCCAGCGCTTGAAATATTCTCATTAAAATTTCGCATTTAAATGTAATTTTCATATGCCTAACATGGAACACTGTAAATTAATCAGCACCCAATGCCGGTTGTCATTGGAATCCCCTGTGACATATGAGCTACTCACAAATTGACACTGCAGGTACACCCAGATTAATTGTATACTTTATATACCCTACCTGCAAGAATTAACCGATAAGTTATCTTCTATGATCATACGAACGTTGGGTGTGTACTTATGTCCTGCATGGATCCACTTAGCATACCACTTTTAAGAAACTAACATTACTGAAACAGGAAAAATGTAGAGATATTAATTCAGTAAAAGATATCAATGTAAATTTCAGACTCAACAGCAAAGTCCGAACAAGGAGAGTGCACTTGAATGTGCAAATCCATGACCGAATAGTTAAAGTTGTCATGCTATTGAGTAAGCTTAAAGAATATAACATCAAGCGTTGTGAGATCGAAGTAACCCGGTGACTCATAGGTCAGAGCGATGAGCTTGCAGAGCTGATATCTGAGTTCCAAGTCAGGGCAGCTGCTCATGGTTAAACCAGTTTCCAGTTTCTCGCTCGTAGCGAGAAACTGGCCGCACAAACAAAAAAAACCCTATAATATAAACAAACAAAAATACCTTATAATATAAACAAAAAACCCTATAATATAAACTTGCACGTTATTTCGATAAATTCCAGATCTAAAAATAAATAAGGAAATTCGTATATTTGCATACATTTTATAACACTTTCCAACATCCGTTTTTTTCCCCCCCTGGAATTATTTAAGGAGCAAAATGAACGGTAGCGCTCACGGCGTGCACGTAGGAAGCAGTGCGTAGACCGTGGTGACACAATGGGGCTTGGCAAGCGGCTCTGCCAGAGGGCCGCACGTACCTTGACCAGGCAGTGCCAGCTTGCCGAGATGGGTCCTTTGAAACCGAGAACCCTCTGGTGCAAAGGCTAAAAAGGCCATTTATGAAGTGTTGTGAATTTTTTTTTTGCGGTGCCGTTCTCTATCACATTGGGTGCGTGAAGGAGCAGCATGCAGGAGAAGTTGAAAGAGCATGATGAACTGTGCACCGTCAGGTCATGGAGGGTGATATTCTTCAGGTAGTTCCTTGACAATGATTTCAGTGTTTGTGTAAGTGTAGTGACATCGCGGACGTCACTGTTTACTGCCGGCCCTAGAGAGGCACGGCGTGCGATGAATGATAGCGCTGAGTGGCACCACGCTCGGCGTGCAGTGCCGACCCCTACAGGATGGGGTGAGGGTGCCGGCCAAGGGAATGGGGTTACTATAGGCCATGGCACTCTGGTTGACACTAGACGACACATGACCGGTAAAGTCTACACAGGGGCCCCAGGTGGGGGTTAGGGGTGGTCACGTGTCAGGGTCGAGATCCTGCTCGAGGGTTCGAGAAGGTGGTCGTGGCTAAGGGCGGAGCCAGCCCTGCCACGGAGGATATAAGCTGGGTCCCTGACAGGGACCGGCTGCTGTTGCTCATCCTGAAGAATCTACACGTTCTAAGTTATACATCCTGAAGCGTCACTAACACGTGGACCCGGACCCATGCTGTGGTCTGGTCCATTGTAGCTAGTTACAGAGTAATTGGCGCAGTTAGCCTGGTGGTCCACCACCATAGGTTGTTAGCTTGTTAACCCCGTGTGCTGGTATAATAAATGTGTTGCCTCCAAGAAGAGCGTCTGCGACTCAGTTGAACTCACTTCATAAGTATGCAAACGTTCATACAAATACAACCCTGTCTTGGATCCTTCAGTTGAATAATTACATTGTTGTGAGGTCGAACCATCGGACAAAGATGGTCACTGCATCGTGCGCTTTCAGATGCGCTTCTGTGGCCGTCTGGAACGCTCTTCCTTCCGATATCAAGAAGTCACTGGAGCTATGCACTTTAAATCTCGATTGAAAAATCATTTGTTTAGATTTGCTTTTTGTGTTTAGTGTCCTTTCCCCGCAGTTCCGATTAGCATGGTTGGCTATGTACCGTGCGAAAGAAGTTAAACATACGTACAGATCATCTAAAGAGCGGGCATGTTGGTGAGAATGTTCACTATATTTTTAAGGAATTTACGAGGTGCAAAGGAACCCTTCATCCATCTTTCAGAGATTGAAATTCATCTTTCAGATTCAGGTCCAAAACAGATTGATGAATTTCAATATTTAAAATGTAAGTGTTCACATTTAACTTCACCAGAAGGATGGTCCAAATCTCTGGATTAATTCATTTCCATTCGCCGCCAACAAATGAATCACTGTCAAACTGTAACCTTTGCAGCACCCAACACAGACAGAAGATTCAATTTAGCATAACCCATGCCAAGACAGACGCGTTTAGAACCCTCAAGGCACACAATTACATTGTAATATGACTGGCTGACATTGTGATATCTTGGTGGTCCGGGCAACTGACTTGTATAAGGAGTAAGTGGTCAGAAAGCGGAGTAATGTCTCATCTGTACTCAGCAGTAACTTCAATGCAAAACACGACATGTCAATGAAAGTCTGCGATCACTTTTCAGTCACGGTGCCTTACCTGTGTTTTGCAATACTTTATTTCATAGGGCATTTTGTAATTGTTTCTTTTCTTCCATACATAATTGTGGAAAAGAAGCCGAGCGTGTGCCGTGCGATCTGTTGACACCTTGAGCGTGGCCATAGATATATTAATATATAACTCCAGTGATGTCACGTACATGAAATGTAATTCCATACAATTGAACTCAACAAAGTGACATTGTCACAAACCCTGTGGTGAAGTGGAGATGTGGCGGTGAAATCAGATTTGCGTGTAGGTAGGTGCTAGCTGCTAGGGGAGCGGCAGTGTAGCGGTTAGCGCGCTGCGCTACGAACCCGGCCACCCGAGTTGGATTCTCGCTCACGGTGACGATTATCTGTACCGGTCCTGGGCCTCCCCTAGGTCGACTCCTCCTCAAATGTGTACCTGGTGCGGTGTGTAAACATCGCTTTTGGGGAGACAAAGGCGTCCGGGCGTGGTGCTGGCCACCCACCCCCTCGTGTGCCGTTCCAGCCATCGTAGGTGCTCGCTAACAGCACTTGCCCCAACAGTCTGCTAAGGCTACAGGGGGGACATTTGCCTTGCTAACCGCGCTGTTATATTGCGGCGGCTTGGAACAGGCCTTCATCCAGCAGTAGATTGACCATGGCAGATCATGCTGACGATGATGACGATCCCTCCGTTGCTACGCAACGTGACGCTGCGCGAGTTTCCATGGTAACCATATGCGCCTTAGGACCGCTCAAATCGCCCATCCGCTCCTCTTCCCGTCAGAATACCAACACAATATGCATATATATTAAAAAAAAACGATGAGTTTTATGAAACCTGGGTTATTTCTTCACCTTTTAACGAGGCCCGTGAGGCATCCCAGCTGCTCCTGTCCAAAGTGTACCGCGGCCCTCAGAGCAATCAGCTCGCGATTCAACCGCGCCACCGTCTCGCGTAGCCTGAACACTTCGTAGCCGGCGCTGCTCGCTCGCTTGCTCTCTGCCATTGTCGTAAAAGCGTTAAGAAATGTACGAACGTAACAACCGTGCCATCTAAGCGTCTCGTGAACACACGGGGGCGGGGGTGGGATGTGGGCCTGTCGCTAGTTTTATTTTGGAGACGGGACGCCGACGCGCGTCGTCACGGCAACCGTCGTGTAGGCAACGGGTTACGTGATGACGTAGACAACCCGGTACGTCAACGCGTGGCAACTTCACGGCGACGTAACGCGCCGACGTCAACACGCACGATTACGTCATAATACATCAGAATCAGAAGATTTATTTAGACTAATAGCTGTCAACCCACGCGGTTTAAACCCGTATTCTTGTACAGGGAAATTAAGTTTTCAGGTCCATACAACGTACAACCGTTTCAATACGGGGAAAAAAATGTATTTATAATACAGGTTTTTGGGGTTAGATCGCGGAAATGTGTCGTTAAGCCCACCACCACCCGACACAGCTAAATTCGTAAGATTTGTCACGTAAACAGAACATGCCAATTCGTTACTAGTACCGGTGTTTTGGAGAGCGAATCCACAACATTTACAATCTATCTAAAATGTATATTTGTTTATGTTTCTCCCTTGTGATGGGACCTTGTAGGGTGAACGTTGAGATTTATAAAGGTACGGGGTTACCAATAAGGTCTGAATTGGTCTGTCATAAGGTACTGATGAGGGGTTGACATGCGTTTTTCTGGACTTTGTTGTTATTCTGTCTCTCACTGTTCAAATAAACCTACCATTAAAATTATAGACTGATCATTTCTTTGTCAGTGGGCAAACGTACAAAAATCAGCAGGGGATCAAATACGTTTTCCCCTCACTGTACACAGCTCTTTTTCACACACGGTGGTCAGAACGTTACAACAACAAACAGTACAACAACACGATAGCAGTAGTGCAAAGTAGAAGAAAGGTAAACAAAACAACCCAAACACAAACAAATTCAACGAAACCATCCCCATCCTACCAGGCAAAGCCCACCGAGGTATTCACTTATTTTTTCAAAAGCGACCTGACCACAAATGATAGCTCAACAAAATGCCATAGGGGCCGTCCATAAATGACGTCACGCGATTTTGGACGATTTTT